AACATCTCTTTTCAGACAGTGTCTAAAATATGTGGTACAGGCAGACTGTGCTCTTATTTGTGCTGTTATTGGAACGTCAGTCAGCTGTGGGGAAACATAAAGTACTTATGAAGAGCAGACATGAAAAATGAGTGTTAAAAACAATGACCACTGCAGAGATTATCTGTGCTTTTCATGCCATATTTTTTTATTTTTGACATTATTTCCCGGTGACCTGCACTGTTGCTTCCCTTGACCAATGCATAGTGTCTTACACATTAAGCAATTTGCATTTAGGATTTTGGAGTACTCCATGGGAGCAGCATGGCTGAAAACCCTCTCCATAGATAAACTCACAAAATCTTGATAGCATACATTTTGTACTAGAATGAAGGAGCACAGCATGTTGAAACAGAATTTAGACTTTATCATATGATAAAGAATTTCTATCTTGAGGCAGTGTGTAGTGTACTTCTCACTGAACTGAAAATGATGTGAATGAAATGGTGTTGCCTTCACAGGTACAAGATCTCGACCCAACTTAGCACTTTTGTAAGATGCTTGATTGATGTCCTAGAAAACTGAGTACATGTAAAGGATGAGCTTCTGAGAATTTACAGTAAATCCAGCTCTCTGGCTTTAAAATTAGATTGGACTCCTTTCTAATGACTGTTTATTACAAATTAAATTCCAGTATGGCTTCAGCGCACAAGAAATGCATAAAAAATGTACAGAAAAACCAGAATGCAATAATTTGGAAATAATTTAAAGCCTTCATTTGATTTAATACAAAATAGTCCAAAAACATCAAATTGAATGTTGAACCTAAGAAATCATACTACATATCTCATGAAAAGAGAAATGTTACTGCATATATGTTTTTGGACCATACTGGGGCTATATTGGTGTATTTGGTAAATGCTGCTGCTGGGCATATGACTGAGGTTCGATTTTATTTTGCTGAAGACGAAGCTGACATTAACAGAAAGTGTTCAAGGGTGAGAAAAGGGGAGGACAGAATAGGAGGTAATGGGGGTTGAGGGTAACAAAGGCCTCTTTCCTCAAAGCTGCTAACTGTATTCAGGCTCTGCATAGCTGAGCATCACCATGACGACAGCTAGAGAACTGAGAAGGAGCACTCTGAAACTGTGGAAGAGAAATCACCAACAAGCCCACAGACAAAAATAAAATGAAATACAGTCCAAACAAAATTAATTAATTTCAAATGCAGTGGATCAAAGGGGCTGAACATGAAATTTGAGATTTTACAGCAAATCGTGATCCTTTTGTTGGATATGGACATTTTTCTTTTAAACGGATTTCAAATTTTTGATGAGTAATGAAAAACTGAGTGCTCTTACCAGTGTGCTGGCCCTGTTAGGGCTCTAACATTCTGCTCCAGTGAAATTTTAACTGGTCTTCATCTACAGCCTGTAATTATGGTTTTGACAGACTGACCTTCTGGTGTGTGTGTGTGTGTGTGTGTGTGTGTGTGTGTGTGTGTGTGTGTGTGTGTGTGTCTGCGTGTTTAACAGAGAGCATTAGCCAGCTTCTTTCTCTCTGATGGAGAGACCACACTACCTTTTGTAAGGACAATTAGAGCTAGA